GAAGATGAACTAACGTGTCTTGTGTCGCGTGGCCCTCCTGACACAATTTATCAATTACTTGATATATTTAAGCATAACATTTTGCAGAAAATTAGTCCTTTTGTATATGCATAAGTTTTTATTTAAGATCCACTTTACACATCAGCAATCAGCAAGCATGCGGATCAATTGGTACGAAATTATTTTAGTTTAATTAGTGGTATTGAGTTTGGGTTTTTAGGAACACAGCTATGTTAAAGGTTGGTAACTATAAATAATATAAGAAAAAGACCCACTTTACAGATTTTACGATGTTTTCATGAAATTTAACATGAATGCACTAGGTTACAAATTCTGCATTTTCCTTCTAGTTTCATAAACATTTTTATCTCAGCAAGATTTTCAGACATGGCATTTGTCTTTTTTCTTGACCTAAATCGTATGAATCATGACAAGCTATGTGGAAACCTAGGATCTAAGCTTTAAAATACTAAAGAATGAGAGAGATAATCTTTTTCAGGGGTAATTAAATTTTTTGAGTACAGTGCATACCAGACTTAAGGAGGATAAAATGCAAGATACAAAATTTTGTTCAGTTGACTTTTATCAGCATTTCAGGGATAAAGTGTACTATATGTTTTATTATAGCTATTATTATGAGTACAATATGTTTTATTTTTATTAATAGTCAGTTTATGCTTGGTATCATTTATTACATTGACATCCTAAAATCATACTAAGCTATAAGTTAGCAGAGGATTAAAAATATTATTCCCCCTCCTCTTTATCAGATGTGGTAAAAAAGCAACCAGATTCCCTTTAAAGCACTACGGAGAATGTCTTATAACGGGAACTTTTTCATATATATATATATATGGGATAAATATTTTTACAGCCACTTTAGATAAGCCTATCTACAGCCACCACTTTTAACTATGTTCTCCTGGGAGAACATAGTTATAACACTAAAGTTGATTTTTTCTCTATCTCCACGTCAGCAGACAAGTTCTAAAAAGTAATTGAGGAGAGAGAAAAAAAGACAACTTTAATATTATAACTATGTTCTCCCGGGAGAACATAGTTAAAAATGGTGGCAGTAAATAAGCTTATCTAAAGTGGCTGTAGAAATGTTTACTCTATATATATATATATATATATATATATATATATAGGGGCAGGATATTCTTACACCGGTGTAAGAGTTAGAAGTCTTACACTCAATCTTGACCATTGATCCACTTGTATCCAATGGCTCACATTACTAAAAAAATTTAGCCGTTAGATATAAATGGAATCAACGGATAAAATTGAGAGTGTAACTTACACTGGTGTAAAATGATCCTGACCCATATATATATATATATATATATATATATATATATATATATATATATATATGGTCAAGATCCTATGATATCGGTGTTAAATTTCAAATTTAACACCTCATCTGAGAGCCGTTAGATCAAAAAAGATCAATGGTGTCTGCTTACAAATCAGAGTCGTTGCGGCTCTCAAATGAGGTGTCAAATTTTAAATTGACACTGGTGTTAAAGGATCATGCCTCATATATATATATATATATATATATATATATATATATATATATATATATATATACCAGGATCATTTCACACCAGTGTAAGTTACACTCTCAATCTTATCCGTTGATTCCATTTATATCTAACGGCTCAAATTTTTTAGTAATGTGAGCCATTGGATACAAGTGGATCAATGATTATGATTGAGTGTAAAACTTCTAACTCTTACAACGGTGTAAGAATATCCTGCCCCATATATATATATATATGGATGACACTTTTTTTTACATCTGACACAAAAAAGTGGGCCCTAATGCTTTTCTTAAAACAAAGGAATAATACGGAACTGTATCCTAAAATTCGGGTCAGTATTCTAACTTGCTGTATGTGCAACGGCTGCAGAAATGATTTTGTTATATATATATATATATATATATATATAGGGTTTAGTATGTGTCATTCAAAAGGATACAAGTTATGTCCTTTTAGTGACTTACACAGAGTATGACCGGTCATACTCTGTGTAATTCTGAAAAGTTACTTTTTTTCACTTTACACGTCAGCGATGCGACTGAGGAGAGAGAAAAAAAAGTAGCTTTTCAGATTTACACAAAGTATGACCGGTCATACTTTGTGTAAATCATCTAAAAGAACACAACTTGTGTCCTTTTAAATGATAGTCTTTTTTTCCATATATATATATATATATATATACAATTTTTGTCGTACAAAATTGAAGGGAGAGACTAATTATTAAACCTGTAGCTCTTCACAAGTATCATTTCGTGGGTTGGACCTCATGTCATAATTGTCATTGCAGAGGACATGTCAAACTTGCTAATTTCTTTAGCCACTAAAGTAATCCTTTTTTCCATTTTCCGCTGCATGATTGACACCATACATAAATAGGAACAACTGCATCATTTGAGTCATCTATCTTATGATAAACATGGAAAAAAAAAAGATATACAAAAGGGAAAAGGAGTGAAAGGTGGTCGGCAGAGCGCAACACATTGAAGTTTCAGAATTCTGAGATTCACAGAGCAATAATATATTATCAGAAGAAAATTGGACCAAAACTTTTTTGCTTTTCCACAAAAACGACTTGCATATCAGAAATTAAACGAATATTCTATGGATTAATAAGTGAAATTCCTCCTGATCAGCATTGAGTTGCTATCTTCAATGAATAAGCAAAATGTATGCCTTGTATGCCTATTTTATGTCTTGTCAAGAACCAATGCAGCATATTAAGTAAGGAAATCTAAATCTTCAACTAGATCATGTAATGTCCTTGTAACTTTCACCACATGCTAAGTTTGGCAGAGTGAAGAAAATAGTAGGCTTAATGGAGATACAATATTCACACAAAAAACACAAAATGGTCATGCTAAAAATGCAAGGAATCAACCTGGCAACTCATTTGGCACAAGAGAGCTGCATGGGAGGTAAAGGAACTCGATTCAAACCCCACCAATGTCATTTTAGGGAGGAGTATAAAATTTTAATCCTTGACCCTCCGCGCATTCGAGATTAATCTCGTGGTCGACTTTAAGAACTAAAGCTTGTGGAGATACCATGGAAGTTTGAGTTAAAAAAAATGCAAAGAACCCAATTATCTTTGAGTACAACCAATTTAAGCACTCGTTTCTCCTCTAAAATGTCTATTCTCTTTTAACTATGGAAAATATTACTCTCCTTTTACATAAGGTAACTTATCTCATTTTCTCTCACTTCGATTTTCGCACTCCACTTTTTTCTTCTTTTTCTTTTTTCTTGTAATGGTGGGACCCACCCATTTTCTCTCTACCACATAAGATAACTATCTTATGTGGAAGGAGATTAATAAAACCCTTTAACTATTTAAATAATTTAATTTTTACCCAACATCTATGAAAAGCCATTTTTTAATAATTTTTCGTAACATCATCAAAAGAGTCTAACTTAACAAATAATTTTTATCATGATCAAATTTTTTTTTAATTATATAGCACGCGTGATTTAATAATAATGTTATAAAAAGTGAACCAAAATTAAACTATTTTGAAGAAAAACTTACTTTATTGAAATGAAACTTAGAGACTAACCAAATTATTATAGTTGTTAGTTGTTTTGGGTACATTGATTGTGAATTTGTGATATTTAAAATTAAGAGAATCTAATGTGATTTTATATCAAGTTTATTATGAATTGATTATACTAGCCCATTGAGATTTAGGTAGCACTTTATCTGATTTGCATAAAAGGGGAAGATTCTTGAATGGCTATAAGCATTTATATTAGTTAAACTTTCTCACTTCGAATGTATGGTGTGGGCACGTATCTAACCTTAACCTATTAATTAACAATAATTGAATCCTGCATTTAGATTCATGAATGTCAGTACAACATTAGACTTACTTTTATATTTGACAATAACTGAATTCTGCATTTGAATTCACGAGTAACAATAATAACCATACACGAATTTTATATGAAAATCCTCGTAAATACAGTTGAACTATCCTATGTTTCCCAAAAACGACGAATGAAAAAGTAAAAGATAAAACAAATAAAAGAGATGTCCATGTTTAGTTCCTATCATCACTGTTCCGATGGATAAGATGTGGCAGAAACTCGCCGCGTCGTCAAACTCAATACCCTGCACAGATAGTACGTGTGTGACCTATGCCCATTGGCTCCCATGATTTGAGGCCCTTATTGCAATCAGCAAGCACCTAACTCCATAAAACAAGTGGAATCCACTAGTAATGATATTTGAATGTCATTTTTATTATATTATTGCTATATATTTTTTAAGATTTAATATTTCTCATGTTGTAATAGATAAATTTATTTCCGATACAAATATAAATATATGTGAGACTCATGTGGGTTCATTTGAGGAGAAGAGAGAGAAAGAAAAAAAAAAAATGAGCTCCATATACTTTAATGTGTATGTATAAAATAAATTTATCTCTTACAATATGATAAACATTACAATTTTTTTTAAATAATAAAGTAAGAGAAATATACATCCTAATATACTTTAACTTTTCATTTTAAAGCAAAAAAAATATAAAAGATGGTATGACGAAAATAATATGCAAAAAGCATTTCATGGAACCAGCCTCACTAATCACTAGCGTGAGAAGGTTTTGGGTATTTTCTCTGTATGATGAACAATTGAACACTACATAAAATTGATTGCCAATTACCTAATTTTTTCTTTCCGTAAAGCAATCCAATTATTGCCACGTGGAATCCATACTGTTCTTGCATACACACACGCACACAACAAGAGAATATCCGAGAGCTTACGTATAGTGCAAAAGGGAGGTCACGTGTGAGCTTGATGGAGAAATTCTTACACGCTTGCTTAAAATTAAAAGGTCCTTTAATTTTTGTTATAATCTTAGTTCCGAGTTCGATTCATGTACAACACCTACCAAGTCTTATAAATACCATGAGGGGGTAACATTTTTCACTTAGGAGACACAAACAACAAGAAGTGTTCTTCCTCTGTACACAACTCTGTTCTTAGTTTTGAGTACCACTCTTTTACCTTATATACATCAAAAGAGACAAAAAAAAAATGGAAGGAGATGGGTGTTGTGTGAGTTTTTTTCAGAGGTGCAAGCCTTACATAGCTATGATTTCTCTGCAATTCGGGTACGCTGGTATGAACATAATCACAAAGGTCTCCCTCAGCCGTGGGATGAGCCACTATGTGCTTGTGGTTTATAGGCATGCCTTTGCTACAGCAGCTATTGCTCCCTTTGCTCTTGTTCTTGAAAGGTACCTATCACTCACTCACTCACAAAGAGAAAAGTGGAAGAAAAAACCATTGCCTTTCTCGGTTTTTGAATCATTTTCTGATCACAACTTCTCTTATTCTTTCTTATCATCGGCAGGAAAGTTAGACCCAAGATTACATTTCTTGTGTTCATGCAAATGTTCGTGTTGGGTCTTCTTGGGTTAGTACTTTCTTCTCACTTCAGAAACTGGTGTTCGTATGTTCTGAATTTTGCTGTTTTCTAATGTTTTTTTGTTCGGTTCTTTTAGGCCTGTGATTGATCAGAACTTATACTACATGGGGTTGAAATTTACTTCCCCATCCTATTCATGTGCTATAAGCAACATGCTCCCTGCTATGACATTCGTGATGGCAGTTTTTTGCAGGTATATCTTTACATAACACAATCAACTAGTCTCATTTTTTTTTTTTTGCTTTCTATTGCTTTGAGCTAACATGGTGTTACTCTCAACTTGGTATAAATTAGGATGGAGAAGGTGGATATAAGAAAAGTAAGATGCCAAGCAAAGGTGATTGGAACAATAGTTACAGTTGCTGGGGCCATGTTAATGACATTGTACAAGGGGCAAGTCATCAATTTCTTGGGGTCTCAGTACATGCATCATCCAAGAAACTATGTACCTGAAAACACCACCGATTCCGCTGAAACGGATTGGGTTAAGGGTTCTATTCTTCTCATAATTGCTACCCTTGCTTGGGCTTCTTTCTTCATCCTTCAGGTAAGGAACTATTTAAGTGGAGAATACTTAAAACTTTTCATTCTTATTCATGAGAGTGATTTATATACATTATTTGAATATTGAAAAGTCTTTGTTGTGATTAAAACAGGCAGTGACATTAAGAAGATACTCTGCTCAGCTCTCTCTCACAACAATAGTGTGTTTCTTAGGCACACTTCAGTCAATTGCAGTTACCTTTGTCATGGAACACAGGCCTTCTGCTTGGACCATTGGTTGGGATATGAACCTGCTTGCTGCAGCTTATGCTGTAAGTCTCTCTCTCTCTCTCTCTCTCTCTCTCTCTCTCTCTCTCTCTCTCTCTCTATTTGTTTATCACTCATATGAGAGTCTAAATGAACGAAAACTTTTGTGTACAGGGTATAGTTTCATCGGGTATTGCTTACTATGTTCAAGGGATTGTAATGCAAAAAAGAGGGCCAGTTTTTGTCACTGCTTTTAGCCCTTTGATGATGATCGTTGTAGCAATCATGGGCTCTTTCATCCTTGCAGAAAAAATATACCTTGGAGGGTAAGTCCTTACTCACATCAAATCACTTTTTCTAATTAACACTTCAAGTTTTAGGCAGTAAAAAACTTTGCTTTCATGCGGTTTCGTCTCACAGCTTATGGTTTAACAGAGTTACTTTACTTTCCATCATTTTCTTATCATAAACCAAAAGTTATGCATTTACATGAAACATCGCAATCATAAAAAGTACAAAATAGTGAACGGTTTCAGTGCAAATATTGATGTAGAATTTTATTTATTTGTGATAACAGAGTCATTGGAGCTATTCTTATCGTAATGGGACTTTACTCGGTTCTATGGGGCAAATACAAGGAGCACAAAGAGAAAATAGCAGAGGCAACCACTGAGGCAATCAAGTGCTGTACAGAAAATGTAATAATAATCCAAACTGTGATTGAAGATGCTGAAACTAACGACGTTGAGATGCAAAAGGGTGAAGCTTCCAAAGAGTTAAGGGTAGCCATTAATGTAGAAAAAGCTTAAACCAGTAGAGAATAGATAGGGCTGAAATAACAGATTGGGCTGCAATGAAAAAGGGTTACGGAGAGAAGAGAAATTGAGAGAGGGGTTTTGTGTACCTCGATCCTCATCCTCACTATCTTTCTTGGAAATATTAAGCTAAATCTTTTTTCGTTGTTTCATTAGGACAATTAGTGTGGGCCTAGTTGTCCTTGATGTAACTTAAATTTTGCTTACTTTGGTGAAAGAAAAATTGAAATTGCAGATTTCTCTCTCTCTCTCTCTCTCTAGGTGAATAATTCCCAGAATGTTGTGATGTCATTGATTAAATTGCTGACATCTGATTGCAGGTATGAAGGGTCTAATCCTGTATGAATTTTTTCTTTTCTAATTTCAGCATCAGATGCTATTTCTTTGTCCACTTAATTGATTTAATTGGTACTTCAGCTTCTTTAATAAGAGTATAAAATTCTTATGTTCATATTATATCAAAATCAAGCTCTTTTGTGTATTTATTTTTTGCTTTAATGTTTTTACAGTGTATCTATGTTCGTTTCTAAAATGATGTCGTTTCGGGTTAAAAAATTAAAAAATTATAATTAAAAAAACTATTATAACCTTGAAATAAATTATAATTACAAAAATACTTTAATTTCCAGATCAAAATAATATCGTTTTTGGCTCAATATAAATAAATTATCTACATAAATGATAGAAAAAACGAACTTTTTTTTTCTATATTACAATGCTCTCTTCTAATTAAGTTTACGTGATTTTGAGGCTGGGGTTTTATGTTGTAATGATGGGTTTTATAAGAGTTATGTTGTAGGAAAAGTGATTGTGTAATGTTATAGAGATTCGTTTTGCGTGCCTTAATTTTTTATTTATTTTTTTGTTTTAAAAAGTGTGGGCCCCACAAAATGTTGTGAGGGTAGGAAAGTTTGTTGTGTTATGTTAAAAGATAAAACGAAAACCCTGTAATGATTACTAGTCAACCATTTACTTTAAAATTAAAAATTTACTGTTATGAAATTGGCGTAGACTTGTTCACAGAGACAATCAGCTAAACCCAATGGGTGCACAGGTTACTTGGCGCTGAGTTAGTGGGGTTGGACATGTATTCGATTCCCGCTGAATGCATTCTTGAGGAGGGGCTGAACCTTTAGCCATCACTGATCCCCGCACTCCGGATTAGTCCCATAGCCGGCTCAAAGAATCGAAGCTTGTGGGGATACCGGAGGGAGCCAACTCGCCACAAAGAGATAATTAAGATTGGGTAACTCTAAAAAAAAAAAAGAAAAAAAAGAAAAAAAAGAGACAATCAGCTAAGAATGTGCTTGAGATGGAAATGTTCTAATTTTAATGGGGTTGGCTGTAGTCAATGGATGATTTATTTTCGACTTAGCAGAGGTGGGATCAAGGCTCATGTATTACAACTATAATTCGAACTGATGATTCATCAAAGCTCAAAGTTTTGATTCTGATGAAATAGTTAAGATTAGTGAAAAGATTATCCCTGAATTTTAGTGCAAAATATGCCAAACTTCTTTTTAAGGGCAGATTATATCCTATCTATGAATGAGCATCCAACATATCCTTTACTCACTGAATATCTAGGGAGGAATAATTACATCACAGACTCTTTAAGTGATGCAACCATGGGATTTAGCAGGAGCATAGCCACTTAGAGAAGTAGATTTGCAATTCCACAAAATGCTTGTACAAAATATTCTGATTCTTAAAATTCATTTCCAAAAAATCATGTGTCAATAAAGTGTCCAATTTTGTGGATAAAATGTATATATCTTTGTTAAATACAAGACTACCAGCCAATACCACCTTCTGATCTAACTTCGATTCAAACATAATTCACAAAATTCTTCTCAATTTCAATGTTTAGACCTCTATTATTTTTAAGGCTTCAAGCAATGGCTTCTTACAAAGCAGAAGAAAAATGACAATTTGCTAACTACATATTTGGGGTGACCAAACTAGTTACATTGATGTTAACACCTAGTTGGGTTAATTAACTGTTTTGGAACTTTAACTAAGAAATGGATGCTAGTGGGTGAATCGGCAGCATTATTTTATTGGTATTAGAAGTACAACAATTCTGCTCTAATCTAAAAGAATAAGAGTATGACAGAGTCTCCTCCCTGAAAAGTAATTTTGGTAAATGACTTTGTATTATGCAGCTATATGCATGAACCCACTAGAAAAAAATTCTAATTAAAAATTTGAGAATAAGAGGAAAAATATATGAAATTTTAAGCAAAGACAAAAGGTAAATGCAGTGTAGGAAAAGAAGCAAAAGTAAAGAAAAAAACTTCAATTAGTGAGAGTTTTTAAATAAATATAATGTAATTTCAAAGCTTCAAATTAGTCCTTCAACTTCCTGGAAAACTTCAAATTAGCAAATCCACTTGGCTTCAAATTAATCCAATTTCTTAATATTCTAATCCTTTACCCCTTCTAAGAAACCTAATATCTTAGCATCTTTTAGGTGGGTTTAAACATTATAAACAGAAAATTATCGAAATTTCATATTTTAATATGTCTAATCACAGAATCATACAAAGATATGGTAGAATTATCAGGTCTAATTCATATACTAATATTTATTATTGTCATATGTAAACTCTAAATCAATTCACAAGAGGGAAACTCAATGTAACATTACATAGAATAATTCACTCAATATTGGAAAAAAAATTGAAAAGATAAATTAAGTCACGTCAAGATCCAATTGAGTTCCATCCAACCCTAACACAAGAAATTAAAAAGGCATAGCAATCTCAAAAACAGGAAGAATAAAAAAAGGTTCCCAAGCTCCATCTTCAAAAGGTGTATGATGAATCTTCATGTATCTCCAACCTTATCTTGCCTCCACAAGATCTATAGGGAGTAATTTCGCAACTCAGATCCCTTTAACCCTAAATGATAGCCTCTTATTTATAGGAAAATATTGTATCCTTTGGTCCTTTAGCGAATGGGCCTTGCTTTATTGAACCGGGTGCTCAAGCGTGCATTCTGCATGCCTAAGTGTGCAAAATAGGCACTTTTACATTTTTATCACCTAGGGGTGCAATTTGCATGCCTAGGCATTCATGTGGCCGAATCTGTCAGATTTTGGTTAGGGGTTGTTAGGATAAGATCACCTTTGATCTTATTCTTCAACTAATGAAGACCAAGTCTTTAGGAAGAGTTTGTTAATATCTTGTATCTGTATAGTTTGGTTAAGATAGTTTGTTTGTTCTCCATATAGTATTGTTACGATAGTATTAGTATTGTTACGATAGTTTGTTATCGTTTGTTTCAGTTTGTTGTCATTTGTATATATAATTGGCTATCTGCCACAAAGCAATACAACACTTATCATTCAATCATTTCATACTTTTCTATATGGTATCAGAGTAACAGTAACGATCCAATTTCCCATGGCTGATTCAGATTCTTCCGCTGCCAATGACAATACCAAGGCAAAACTCACATCAGAAGCAGCCATCGAACCTACCCTTAAACCTTCTGATCCTCGTTCCCCATTTTTCATGCCCACATCTGATAGCCCTGGCTTATTCCTTACAAATGTGGTGTTGAAAGGAGAATCTAACTATGATGTCTGGGCCAAAGCATTTAAAAATGCTCTCCTTTCCAAAAATAAGGTTGGCTTCATCGACGGTTCTATCACCAAACCTGCCAATGATGCATTTGATGAAACCCACGCTTGGACTCTTTGCAATTCCATGATCAACAGTTGGATACACAACACTATTGATCCTCTACTCAAGCCATATATTCATTATTTCCCCACAGCCAAGGCCCTTTGGGATGATCTACGGGAACGCTACTCCATTCAAAATGCTCCCAAAATTTATCAACTGAAAGCAAACCTTTTCCAGTTGCGACAACAGGGCATTTCGGTCAGTCAATATTATACCAAACTACGGGGAGCTTGGGATGAACTTGATGATGCACGCGCACTACCTGATTGCCCTTATGGTGCTCATTGTCCTGTTACTCAACATATCACAAAAGAAATGGCTGATGATCGGGTCTATCAATTCCTCCTAGGCCTGGACAACGCTATGTTTGGCACAATCCGCACACAACTGCTGAACCAACCAAATCTACCATCTCTGAACAAAGCGTATTCCACGTTAGTTCAAGAAGAGACTCAATTCCATATGGCTCAGACTCATGAAACCCGAACTTATGTGCTCAGCTATGCTATAAGAGATATTCAAAAACTCCCTTCCTCCAATGCTGATCCTGTTCGATGCAGCCACTGTGGTAAGCTATACCATGATGTCTCTAAATGTTACCAACTTCATGGCAAACCACCCTATGGTCGGGGTAGAGGACGTGGCAAACCCTATGACAAAAGGAACTACACAATTAGTTCTCCTGCACCACAAACCGCAGCTGCCATACCTACGTTTTCCAACCCGAATTTCGTTCTAAATCTGACTCCTGAGATTCTTCAGCAGATTGCCAACATGGTTGTCTCTCCCTCTACACCCTCTGCTAATACTACAACACTTTCTGGTAAGCACATTCCAAATTACACCTGGTTAGTGGATAGTGGTGCTTCTCAACACATGACTGGGAATCTTCAATTAATCTCGAATGTTGAATCCATTCCACCTACTTCCATAGGCTTACCAGATGGTGATCAACTCGTATCAGTTCAACGAGGAATTTTTCAGTTGACATCCAATATTATTCTTCAGGATGTGTTATATGTTCCACAATTAAAATGCAATCTTATCTCAGTTGCTCAATTACTTGCTGATACAAATTGCATTATTTCTTTTACTCACACTGGATGTGAATTGCAGGACCCCACAACGAGGATCAAGATTGGACTGGGTAGATTGCAGGCTGGTGTTTATGTGCATGACTCCTTAAATAAAAGATCCTCCCTTACTGCATGTACTGCTCAAAAATAACAGACTGCAGATATTTGGCATCGTCGCTTGGGTCATCCGTCGTTTCAGTCCTTGCATTTTCTCCCTTTTGTTACAATGAATAAACATAAGGAAATTTCTTCTTCAGTATGCGATATTTGCCTTAGAGCACAACAAACTCGCACTGTATTTCCTGTTAGCATTAATAAAACTACTTCATGTTTTGATCTTATTCATTGTGACATATGGGGTCCATATCAAACTGCTTCTTTAACTGGTGCAAGATATTTTTTAACTATTGTGGATGATTTTAGCCGAAATGTCTGGGTTTATTTAATGAAGACTAAAACTGAAACGTTCCAATACTTATCTCAGTTTCTCTTGATGGTTCGTACTCAGTTCAATGCCAATGTCAAAATAATACGATCCGACAATGGTTCAGAGTTCTGTGCTACTAATCTTCGTAAGGTTTACTCAGACATGGGGATTATACACCAAACATCATGTGTGGACACACCACAACAAAATGGACGAGTCGAACGGAAACACAGACACATTTTGAATGTAGCACAGGCACTACGCTTTCAAGCTCATCTTCCCATTGAATTTTGGGGAGAATGTGTTCTCACTGCTGTTCATCTAATCAACAGGACCCCGACACCTCTTCTTCAAGGACAGACTCCATTTGAACGCCTTTTTAATCGTACACCAAACTACGATCACATTCGTGTCTTCGGATGCCTTTGTTATGCTCATCCACGTCCCAAATCGTCAGACAAGTTTGTTGCAAGGTCAGTCCGATGCCTGTTTCTGGGATACCCTTTTGGCAAGAAAGGATGGAGGCTTTATAACCTTGATACACAGACCATATTTGTCTCTAAAGATGTGGTATTTGAAGAAACCATCTTTCCCTATGAAACCCAAACAAAAACTCCTACCAACATTGAAGTTTCCCAACTGATGCAGTCTCATGTTGAAGCAGAACCAACACCGGCTGCACACGACACATCTTCTTCCACTCAATCAGTTGATTGCGAAATTGCACCACATCCTACAACTCCTGCAGATGTTGACCAACGCTCTTTACCTTTGGTTGCACACTATGAACAGTCTATACTACCAGGCACTGTTACATCAGATAATCTAGTCGACCAACATGAACAGTCTCAAATACCATCAACTACTGCATCAGAAACTTTGGGTCGTGGTCATCGTTCTCGCTATCCTCCCAAATATCTCAAGGATTATACATGCACCAATGTCATAGCACATAATCCAGCAGCCTCTTCTACCTCCTCCAGTCTATCCTCAGGTATTCCTTATCCCATTGCTAACTTTGTTTCTTGTTCTAAATTTTCTCCCGAACATCAACAGTTTCTTGCTGCCATTTCTTCTGGAGTCGAACCTAAATCATTCAAAGAAGCTGTCACAGATGAACGATGGCGTTTAGCAATGCGAAAGGAAATTGATGCACTTGAGCAAAACAAAACATGGGAGCTTACTTCTTTGCCACCTGGTAAACATGCAATCCCTTGTAAGTGGGTCTACCGCATCAAATACAATTCAGATGGTACTGTGGAGCGATTCAAAGCACGGCTAGTAATTGCTGGTAATAATCAAATACCTGGCGAAGATTACTTTGACACATATGCTCCTGTAGCAAAGATGGTTAGTGTGAGGACACTTCTGGCAGTAGCAGTTGCCAAGAAGTGGAAATTATACCAGTTAGATGTTACAAACGCCTTCTTACACGGAGATCTTAAAGAGGAAGTTTATATGCGAGTTCCTCAAGGCTTCCAGCATCACAAACCCCATCAAGTATGCCGCTTATATAAATCACTCTATGGATTGCGACAGTCCCCCAGAAATTGGTTTGCTAAGTTGCGGTCATCTCTTGAGTCCTACGGTTTTACTCAATCTAAGGTTGATTATACTCTATTTACCTTACACAAGAATGGTCACTTCATCGCTCTTCTCATCTATGTTGATGATATTATCTTGACTGGGGATGATGCAACCACATGCAATGCTGTCAAAACTTTCCTCCACTCATGCTTCCATATCAAAGATTTGGGGATTTTAAAATATTTTCTTGGAATAGAAATGGCTCACAGTTCTTCTGGTCTCTTTCTAAGCCAACGAAAATATGCTCTCGACATATTGGAAGATGCTGGCCTCCTTGCATGCAAACCTTGTGACTTTCCTCTTGAAACAAATCATAAACTTGCTATTACAGAAAGTCCCACTTTCTCGGATCCAGCACGGTACAGAAGGCTCATAGGACGTCTAGTTTATCTGACTATTACCAGACCCGAGTTAAGCTACTCCGTCCATGTTTTATCGCAATTCATGCAGAATCCCACCGAAGCTCAATATGAAGCTGTCTTACGTATTTTGCGATACATAAAAGCTAACCCCGGTCAAGGATTACTGCTTCAATCAGAAAATGACCTTCTTCTTCGAGCTTATTCTGATTCCGATTGGGCTAGCTGTCCACTTACCAGGCGATCAGTCACAGGCTATTTTATTATGTTAGGCACTTCCCCTATCTCTTGGAAAACAAAGAAACAGCCTACAGTGTCACGCTCCTCTGCAGAGGCTGAATATCGCGCAATGGCAGCAGCCACAGCTGAGTTATTATGGATCAAATCGTTCTTAAACTCTCTTGATGTTCCCCATTCACAGCCAATGCTTTTACATTGTGATAACCAATCTGCTATGCAAATAGCTGCTAATCCAGTGTTCCACGAACGCACCAAGCATATAGAAATCGATTGTCATTTTGTGCGAGATCATGTTTTACGAAATACAATCGCTACTTCTTATGTTCGTTCCGATCAGCAGATTGCAGACATTTTTACCAAAGCCCTTGGCATGAAGCAATTCGGTTTTCTTCGCAGCAAGTTGGGCATTTCTTCATTACATGCTCCAACTTGAGGGGGAGTGTTAGGATAAGATCACCTTTGATCTTATTCTTCAACTAATGAAGACCAAGTCTTTAGGAAGAGTTTGTTAATATCTTGTATCTGTATAGTTTGGTTAAGATAGTTTGTTTGTTCTCCATATAGTATTGTTACGATAGTATTAGTATTGTTACGATAGTTTGTTATCGTTTGTTTCAGTTTGTTGTCATTTGTATATATAATTGGCTATCTGCCACAAAGCAATACAACACTTATCATTCAATCCTTTCATACTTTTCTATAGGGGTGTCAATTTTTGTGAAAACGACACGAATTTGACATGACATAATTACGTTAATACGAATATGACATGAATTTTTATTTATGTCGAAACTTTCAACACGAACACGACACGTAAATTTTGAGAGTTGACACGACACGAATAATACATAAATTATGAGTAAAACGATAATTGATAAAAATATTAAAAAATAGTTGAATTTACATAAAAAAAATAGGGGTCAAATTCGTGTTGACACACGACTCACAAATTTTTTGCCGGTCATATTTTCCCAACACGAACACGACATAAAAAAAATTTAGTGTCAACTCGAACATGAACTTTTGTGTCATGTCGCGAGTCGACCCACGTGTCATAACTTATTTTGACACCCTTAGTTTTGGCGCTCTTTGAGCTTAGGCATGCAATCTGCACAATTAGGTGCCCTTATGATAGTCACGCACACTATTTTTGTGTTTCATGTATAAATTAAGTTGTACTTGTCTGATTTATGTGATTTTTATCTCGTTAAAAAAATAAAAAAAAATCTACAATTTCTGTGAAAAGCTCAAGATCCAAATTTATCATACATCATATGAAATTTTAGGCGGATGACAACATGAGAGATTTTATGATATTTGGGAGTATGACTTAGATAAAAAGGCATGCTTTGACCAATATGACAACTTCTCCTTAATGCTAGAGATGCTCACTTGCTACCCGTTGTTCTTGTCTTATCTAAGTGCGTCATTATTTCTATTAGCTCAATTTAGGTATAAAAAATAAGGGTTTTATAAGAGTTATGTTGTAGGAAAAGTGATTGTGTAATGTTATAGAGATTCGTTTTGCGTGCCTTAATTTTTTATTTATTTTTTGTTTTAAAAAGTGTGGGCCCCACAAAATGTTGTGAGTGTAGGAAAGTTTGTTGTGTTATGTTAAAGGATAAAACGAAAACCCAAAAAATAAAAGAATTACTCATATTTAGTATTCATTTTGAAAGAAGACAAGGTTCAATATTTTATTATAATAATTCTAAATTTTCATGCTTTTGAATCGATTTAAAAATTAATCAGCATATATCAATTCCTTGTAACATGATAAATTATGAATTTATCACCAGACCAACTCAAAATAAAGCTGTTTTTCTAAATGTACAACTCAAAATATAAATTTATTTTAATCTTTGTTACATGTATTACTGGCTTTCTAAATCAAGGGAGTAAATTTTTAAAGAAATTATTTGAACCCAACATCTATTAATTTTTTTTTTTTATAATTTCACGTAACAATATAGGAGGAACAATGATCAAAGTGCCACTATTTGACAAATTTTTTACCCAAATGACACGCGAAAAATACTTTTTACCAGACTGCCACGCGATGTAATTCCTACGATTGGTAACGGATTACGTTCGCCTATGATTTCGTGACACGTGGTCACATTGCGTACCAAATTCGCTACCACTAGTAGCGAACTTCGTTTAGTCAGTTTTTTTCTGCAAAATATACCACGTGTCACAAAATTATTGGTGAACGTAATTCGCTACACAATGACACATCATTTGATATATTTTATCTCTTACAAACACAGTTCAAATTTATAACAATGATACCATAAGAGAGTTTAAACCTAGAAGCCTCCGAGTTCATTCCGAATTAACATCAAACACAGTCTTCTTCCAACTAGATTAGTGATAAATAATGTGTGAGAGATTGGTGAGAATTCTATGCTCTTTTTTCTAGACATGAATTCTATGCTCTCTTTTTTAGACATGAATTCTATGTTCTTTAAGTTTCATTAAAAAATGCAAAACTTTTGATGTATTGCATTAAAATACATAAAAGTTTCTCTCCATGTT